CTAATTGACTTTGGATGAAAATTCTGAAAGTTTTTTTTTTAATGGGTGATTCATGCTAACTGTAGATAATCGTACCTTTTTCTATTCTTGACAGTAAAAGAAAAGATTTTTTCTGCCTTTTATAGGTCCAGGTGGAGTGATGATCCAACATCTTTCAAGCAAAGAAAACTTTGGGGTCAAGTGAGTGTCCTGATTACCGTTGTTATGAATTATACATTTGTGACATGAGTGGCTGGAATTAGAGGATCATTCAGTAGCCTGGAGACAGGACACAACTAATTGATTCATGTGAGCTCAAACTGTGGTCTTGGTCTTTTACCTTTTACCCAGTTGAGCCAACTAGCCACAGACGATGAAAACAGTAAGTTATTGGAATGTGTGACCTCCAGTAGGTCAGAGTGAGTGGTGGCACCAGCCATGGTGACTTGGTTTCTAGTCCAGGCATTGTGGCCAATGTGAGAACCCTGTGGTCTTGGGTAAATGATTTAAACTCTACTGATATCCTACCTGCCAAAGAGTAAGCCAGCCTACTATCCTCTACGAGCCCATTCTGTTCTGTGACTCAGAAAGGTAGTTCTCATTAGTTTGAACCACATAAATTTTTTGACCAGTTTTAACCAATATTTGACCATTTTAACCTACATGAATGACAATTTCATATGGTTCAAGAAACATAAATAATAGATCTTGGTATTGCTATTATGGTATTTATGGTAGGATAATTATATGCATTAAATGTGACAGATGTCTATCAGTTCAATTGTTATTCTGGGGATCAAAAATTTAAATCAACTCACTTATTATTTGAATGTGTTTGAGCATAATGTCTCTCAGTGAAATTGCTTTCACACACTGTGATTTGGATTTTTCCTGTGGTCATGAAACAATGGACTGCCCAGCCAAGTCACAGCTCAGGCATTAGTATTTAAAAAGTGAATCCCCTTGGACCCTACTTTCTCAGCCTTGCCAGAGGCCACAACTTGGGTATTTAATTCCCCTAGGATCTTTTAGCATAAACAAAAGGCACTGCTGGTCTCCTTGGGAGTGAAGAGCTGAACAAATACCTAGCAGTTCTGGCTATGCAGCTCTCAACAGCTGGCAAACGTTGCCATGTGTCACCTGGAAACAAACCACATGACTCCAGTGGACTTCATCACTGACATCTCTCAGCTTAATATATTCTGCTAAAGAGACTTTTGGATGGATGGTAGGGAGCCGAGGAGTCCCCTGAAATTGAACATAGAGCTTCCTATAAAGATTTACACTTTTCTGGGGAAAAATAAATTCAAATAGCTTTATTTTTCAAGGGATCTGTAACACACACAGTAATTAAGGATACTGTTCTGGTAGTTTTCAATTGAATTCCACACAGAGGAACAGCATTCATTCATTCATTTATTCTTCAAATATTTAGTAATGATCTGCTTTGTGGCCCTGGGATATAGAGGTGAATAAAACAATACTGATCCTGTGATATGACAATTTCTATAAGCATCAATCTCATCTCCATAAAAATGGAGGTAAAAATTCTAGTCTCACAGAGTGGCTTTATAAATCACATGAATATGTACACAGTAAATGGGTAATTGAAAAAAGAAAGAAAACTAATATGGTCGTTTGCAAAAGCACAGAACAAGGTCCCTGCCTAGATCTGGGGGAGGTCAGGTTAAGTTCTGGGAGAGAGGCCATGACCTAACCTGGGTTTCTACAACCACAAGAGAAAAGAAAATACACCTTCTGGAGCCTGGAAACACAAATTGAGTTTCCTTCTCCTTACGTAGGGCACCCAGAAAAAAATCATGCAGCAGACTGAGGTGACTTCACTGTCCTCCTTCCTTCCAACTCCATCTCCTCCTAAATACTCACTTACAGTATGATCCATCTTCATTCCAGTTCTAAGCTGATGGCTTCTATTGAGGCACCTGGTCCTAGATGGCCTAGCTGAACACCCAAGTGTGCCTCTCCTATGCACAGTTCTTCATATGAGGGAGGCACTTATTCCACTTGTCACATGTGGTGAAAAGCCAAGGACTTACTTTGGTAAAAACATTTGCAGAAAGTTGGTGGTGGTGAATGGGGCCTTTCCTGTTGCCCTTCCCAGACAACATTGGGACTTTCACTTTTTTTGCTTACAGGAATAATTTTTTGATAGGATTTTAAGCCCAGTCCTGGAAGGAGATACAGGCTGAGTATCCCTTATGTGAAATGTTTGGGGCCAGAAGTATTTTGGATTTCAATTTTTTTCCCATTTTAGAATGTTTGCATATTTACAATGAGCTATCTTGGAGACAGGACCCAATAATAAACATGAAATCCATTTATGTTCTTACACACCTTATATGCAAAGCCTGAAGGTGATTTGATACAATATTTTTAGTGCACCTGCATTTTGACTGTGGCCCATTACACAAGGTCAGGTGTGGAATTTTCTACTTAGTGATATTATGTCAGTGGCAACAACTTTCAGATTTTGGAGCATCTCAAATAGCAGATATGTTTTTTTGGATTAGGGATGCTTACCTTGAATTGGGGAGGTAAGGTGAGTACTCATCCATTTGCTTGGCTCCCTGGGGACCCAGTCACAGGGTAGGGCCTCATGCACATGTATGAGCTCCTTCAAACAAACACTCATTCAGTTTCCTTGACATGCCTAAAAGCACCACCACAGGCATCTAACTCTATCCAGACAAGTCCCTTCTTTCCCTTCTCAGTCTTCTCTCCTGCAGTTCCTCAAGACCCTCCATACACCCCCATAGCACCCACCCCAAGGGTCTTTCCATACCCTACCTCCAACCTTTTATTTTGGAAACTTTGCAATTCTGATTCTTTTTTAGTTGTTTCTATGTTCTACATATTTTTCTGATTTGGTTTCTCAAAAAGAAAATGAATCCTCTCAAGAGTATATGGCAAAGAGAATGGATAAGATGGTACTTTATTCCTTATGGGATGAAGCTATGGAGAAGGGGTTGGGAGAAACAAAACATGAAAAGGCTCCCATGTGAAGTCATCCTGCCCCATAGAAGTTTCACTTCTATGACATAGTGAAGAGGACAGGGGCAAGTCTGGATGGGGAAGTGTGTGTTGATAGAGGAAGTTAGTGTGAACTATCTGAAAGTGAGTGGGCCTTGTCTCTTCCAGGGCAAAAGAAGCAGAGGTGGAGTCTAGAATGGATGAAAGCCCACAGAGCTGTGCTCCTTCACAGCAAATTATGTTATTTAAGGAGTGGGGAGCACATCTCTGTCACATTGCTTGGAAATGTACTTGAGCTTGTACCTTGCAGCTTGCTCCTTTCCAACCTGTTAGGGTTTGTGTGGTGAGGCAAGGGAGAGCATTTTGAAAAACAGAACTTAAAATGTCAGATGGAAGAAATATATTAGGAACAGGAATTCTCGATGATGGAAATTTGGGAGTCATGTTACATGGGAGAAATGACTGGAAGTTTATTTAATGCTTCTTTCAAGATGGGAAGATCTGAAATGTCTCTTTTCTTGAAGGGAAGGAATGCCATGTGTTCAAGAGAGGTAACAATTAGAATGGGACCTAAATAACAAAGAATTAGTAGGTGGAAGAGCAAAGCAAAAAGTATTCCAGGTAGAGGGAATAAAATGTGCAAATGTCCTGGGGCAAGAGAGCTTTCTGACCAGGAGGAAAAAAACCAGGTGTGATCAGATCGTTCTAAGCAAGGGATAATTGAAGAAGTGGGTCAGAAGCCAACTCAAGCCCATCCAGGCAAACTTTGTTAAGGAATTAGTATTTCATTTTAAAAATGACAAGGAGTTATTGCATCATTTTAAAAGTAAAGAAAGGGCATGGTCTTGTTTCCCTCTTAAAAAGAGCACATTGCTGTGCAGAGCAGTGATTTTTTGGGGGAGGACTCTATTGTTTAGTATTGTATTACATGGCACTGTGTTGTGCTGTATCAGCCAGGTGAGAGATGGTGACTGGGCAGTGGCAGTACAGATGAAAAGCAGATGGACTTGATAAGTGATGCTGGGGGTGTTTCTTTGCATCACTCACATTCACTTTCTGAAGATTCTTCTCTCAAGTATGGATAGATATACTCATCTCCTTAGGATACTTGAGACAAAGCACTGTCTACACCTAGGAAATGGAAAAAATTGGAAAGTCCACCGGTGCCTCTTGCAATCTTTTGCTTCAATGCTGTCTCAATCCCCACAATTCATAAATGAGTCATCACTTCATTAAATTAATTTTTTCTGGCACTGGGTCTTGATCTCAGGGCCATGGGCTTGCTAGGCAAGCCCTCTACCACTTAAGCTGTGGCCATAGCCCTTTTTGTTTTAGTTATTAACAGGGTCTTGAGTTTATGCACAGGGTGGCTTAGACTGCCATCCTCCTATTTATACTTCTTGCTTAACTGGGGTGACAGGCATGTGCCACCATGCTCAAACTTTTATTGGTTGAAATGGAGTCTTATGAACTTTTTGCCTGGGCTGGCCTCAAACTGCCATCCTCCCTATCTCTATCTTCCGATCAGCTAGGATTATAGTCACGAGCAACTGTACTTGACTTTCATTAAACTAATTTTTGTTGAATGCTGTGAATGCAGCATTGTGCTAGCTGTTGTGAGTATGCTGATCTTTTTAAGAACAAAAGTAATGTTAAGATTACTGATGAAAATTTGGCACACGAGAAAAAAATATGTATATAAGCATAACATCCACTAGTTACATTTCGATCTATTTACTTCATCTTTTCCCCATTTTCATGTTTATACATTTATTTACATATATGTATGTATCATAATGTATATAGTCTTATGTCCCCATTAAAATTTTATTGTAATTACATATGCAAAAAATCAAGAACGTGTATAAGATAAATTTAAAGGATAACAAAATATGTACTCAGTCAATCGCCAGACAGGTAAAGAAAAAATAATATTACTCTCCTTGCATGACCCTCTCTTAAGATAGGCAGGGAAAGGAACTTAACCTTGTTCACCAATTTTATCATTTAAATCACAGCAGCAGGGAAACATGCCTACTTTATCCAACTTCACACAGACGCTGGAAGATGTCTTCAAGAGGATTTTTGTCACGTATATGGACAACTGGCGCAGGAACACGACAGCAGAGCAAGAGGCAATCCAAACCAAAGTTGATGCTGAGAACTTCTACTATGTCATCTTGTACCTCATGGTGATGATCGGAATGTTTTCCTTCATCATCGTGGCCATCCTGGTGAGCACGGTGAAATCCAAGCGACGAGAACACTCTCACGACCCCTACCACCAGTACATTGTGGAGGACTGGCAGGAAAAGTACAAAAGTCAGATCTTGCACCTGGAAGAGTCAAAGGCCACCATCCATGAGAACACGGGCGCAGCAGGGTTCACAATCTCTCCTTGATTAGAGAGAAAGGGACAAAGCCCACCTTGGACATGCAGACATGGGGAGATGCCTATGTCACCAAGTAAGTCCAAATAGTCACTGCTTAAAAGAAAGTGACTTCTTCTTTCTCTGAGAATTTTCATTGCCATTATGTGGCTGGCCATCTGAGACAGGTGACATTTCAATCTCAGTGATTTATGCTGGCTTATTGGAATGATATTTTGTGCTGAAGACTTCTTTTACTTTCTATGCAATGTAAATGTCATTTAAATCAATGTCAATAGTGAAAATAAAGCCAAATTTGAATCAAAGGGCTTGGGCAGTGGCAGTGGGGATAGGAAAGTGAGATTTACAAATCACCAAACCTTCTTTCTCATAAAATATTAGTTTGGATGTGACAAATTCAATTTAGGAACAACTCAGATGTATTATTCAGAAGGTGAGGTTCAAAATCTATCACTTCTCACTGAACTGACATACAAACATTTACTGATTAATTTATGAGTGCAGATGTTGAAGTGATGAATGAACACAACCGTAAGGTTACTTCACATTTATTGTTTCCCTGGTACTTAACTGATTTGGAAGTCTGAAGACAGAACAAACATCACAAAAGGCAAATAATCCATCTCAGGGAAGTCAAATATTTAAAAGCACCTAGGGCAACAGAAGCATACTTTTAAGCTAACACTTAAAATTTTTGTAGAAAACTAACCCTTACAAGCTCTCAGTACTTGCCTAGCCAGCACAAGGCCCTGTGTTCAAAGCCCATCATTGGTGGAATAGCGGTGAGCATAGCTGCCTTCCTGTGTTCAAAACCCCAGTACCGCCAAAGCATAAATGTTCTCAGTATTTAAGAAAAAGATAACAGAATTATGACATTGCTTTATAGTCTTCTCATTCAATTTTATTGTCTTCTATTTGGAATCACTTATTTTCATTTAGTTTGAAGAAAGTAAAAGTACAGAAAGTGTCTAAATTGCAGATATCTGTTGAAAAGGTAGAAAGAAACTGCTTAGTATTTTGCGCCCATGGTGGGGGGCAGGCATTGGGGAGGTGTTGGTCAGAGGATACAAAATTTTAGTCAGATAGGAAGGATGAGTGCAAAAGATCTGCTGTACAGGGTAGTGACCAGAGTTACTAATAATGTATTGCATTCTTTAAAAATACTAAGAGAATGGATATTAAGTGTTCTTCCCACAAAAATGGTAACTGTGAGGTAATGCATATGTTAACTAGTCATGTATGTGTATATACTTCATATTATCATCTTATACATGATAAATACATATAATTTTATCTGTCATAAAAATAAATATTCTGCACCATGGAAAGCACCTGTGGTTCCTGTCAGATCACTTCATTTATAAATGAGGAAACTTTATAGTCCACTGAGATGAGATGATTTCATTGGCTAATTCAATTGGGCCATGCTTATCTATTTGGGTTACCGGCCTGGAACCCAGGAATATAGATGTGAACGAGATCCTCTGAGCTGTGAGAATTCACCCAGGAGAGAGGCAGACAGATTCATAATGGTGTGATGAGGTCACAACACTGACCAATATGAAGTAGACGGTGTGAGCATGGACAGGACAGCAATCCTAACTTGGGTCAAGTTCTTTCCTCTCAGAGCAGCTAAGAGTAGAAAGTCCATGGCAAAGAGAGATGTGTGGGCTTTTAGAATCATGTAGCTTCATACCTCATGTCCTTCCCCTTCTTCATCCAGGGCAGAGCAATTGTGAGCAGGGCCTCAAGCTTCAGGGTACAAACACAAATTAAAAAGGAGATCTTCAAAACATGCTTGTAGGACAGCCAGGCATGGTGGCACATGCCTGTAACCCCAGCTATTGAGGAGGCAGAGTCCAGGAGGATTAAGGTAGAGGCCAACCAGGGAAAAAAATTAGAGATCTCCATCTCAACAAATAAGCTAGGTGTGGTGGTACACATGTATAATCCTAACTGTGGGAGGCATAGGTAGGATTGTGGTCCAAGGTCTGCCCCAGGCAAAAACCCAAGATCCTATCTAAAAAATAAAAACAACTAAAGCAAAAAGAGCTGCAGTTGTGGCTCAAGTAGTAGAGCACCTTCCTAGCAAGCATGGGGCCCTGAGTTCAAGCCCCAGTACTAAAAAAAAAAAAAAAAACCGCTTATAACAACCATCTTAAGTCTGTTTTCTGTCGCTATAGAATACCTGAGACCAGGTAATTCACAGAGGTTTGTTTTTGGCTCACGGTTCTGGAGGCTGGGTAGCCCAAGAACCTGCCACTGTCATGTGCTAGGCTTCTATGTGCTTGGGGAGAGCCTTGTGCTGCTTCACTCATGGTAGACAGGGAAGGCTAAGCAGGTGTGCAGAGGAGGCAAAACACCAGAGGCTACCTCACTACAACCTGTTCCCTAGTCCCACAAGAGCAAAAACCCACTCCTACAAGACGGCATCAATCCTTTCTTGGAGGCAAACCCCTTATGACTCAAATGCCTCTTGAAGGCCGTACCACATCGCAAAACATTACACTGGGGACCAAGCCTCAACATGAGTTCAGGAGAGGTAAACCACAGCACCAACTACAAGTTATAGAGTGAGATAGATTCAGGGAATCTGTTCCCCATAATAAAGTTGCATTTATACTACCAGAAGCATTAAACACAGTGTTAGGGAAAGCCGTTCATATTCCAAGAGCAAATGTAGCAAGACTAGCCTCCTTCCTGGCTGGGTAACCCCAGGCCCCTTAAAGTACCCACCTGAGGAGAACTGACTGTTTGTTCCAGCCGAAACCTGGTTGACAGGCAGACAGATCTCCTGAACTCTCTCTTGGAGTAATTCAGAAAGTCTGCTATTACAAATCCTTTCTCTCTCCCTTTGAAGTATCAATCTTCTACCACCCAGAAAGGTCTTATTGAAGTGCAAACATCAGAACACTCCAAGCTGGGTGTGCCTTGCTGTAACTTACACCACTATCCCCTATCACAGATAGAAGTTTGCTTCTCCTCCAGATAGCTGCAATGAACAAACCTAGGTCACAGGGACCAACACACTCTCTTCTTTCTATAAATCTCCATCTCCCTGACTCTGCTTGAATTCCACCCCACAGCCAGGCAACTCTGCTTAATGGAACTTGAGTTCCGTTTCTAATGAGCCCTCTTCTCTACTGCAAGAGTTACTGAATTTAGTCTACTCTTACTGCTTTAAGAAGTGTCCAGTTTTGCATATGTTTGACACAGGAAAACAAATTGAGGGAAAAAACTCCACTAGTATCATTTCCCACAAAAATGCAAAATGTGGCCTTTCAAATGAAAACAATAAAAATAACTTGCTGTTTTTCTTTTCTACCCTGTATGCTTTTAGAGTTCCTTCTTCTTGGTCTACTAGCTCTATGTGACCTGAGGAGTACTTCTTAAAGCACAGCTCAGAAACTATTTAAAAAGGAGCTTGTAGAGCTGGAAGTGTGCCTCAAGTGATAGCACACCTGCCTAGCAAGCATGAGGCCCTGAGTTCAAATTCCAGTACCGCCAAAAATAAATGGAGCTCATAGTAATGACTGACTTGATAGACTCTAGCCCTACATTACCCATAGTGGGTCCCAGTTCCGTTATTTGTAGGCTTAAAACTCTAAGTGGTCTAATAGACAGGTTTATGAGACTTAAATCAGACAATAGTCTCAAAGTTCCTTGATAACAGAATCAAATGCTTTTTTGTGCTTCCCTCCATACCCCCTAACACTTTGTACTTCATCACCCCAAAGAGTCATAAAGGGATTTAGAGCTAGAGCTCTTGGAGTCAAACATCAATCCTGCCACTGCAATTCTCTGGCCTCAGTTTTCTCCTCCATGGGAGTGCGAGAACTGTGAACATCCCCTTTCCTTCATCCTTGCAGGTGGAGAAGGGACAGCGCATGCGCAAACTCTGCGTGGCTCAGAAGCCTTTGTTAAACGAAGGGATCTGGGAACCTAATACTGGGGCACCTTACAGTTATCCTACAGGAAAAATACATGCATGTTGTCATAGGAAAGTAATGCTAAATCTGGACACTTCTTTTGGCCCAGACAGCGGAGAGGAAATAACCAATATCCGACAGCTGAGGGCTGAAGGGCCCTCGCGATGCCCTGCCCAGCTGCCGCCATCCTCCTCCGCTTTAGGTAAATCCAGAGTGAGTGTGCCCCGGCGCCTGGAGACGAAGGTCCCCAGCCCATACCACACCCAGGGGACTCCCGACAGCCAGCCTAGTGAGATTTCCGCAGCAGCCAAAGACCCAGGACCCCCACCACACGTACGCAAACACCGACAACCCCGCCCCCAGACCACCGCCGCAACCCACAGCAACAGGGCGGACAGCCACCTGAGCCCACTGCGCCTGCGTGCGAGGCGGCGTGCGTCACGTCGGCTCCCTAGGCTCACCGCGCCGGCGCCGGAAGCGGTGCATTTCGGGACGTGTAGTTTCCCCAGCAAAAAGGTTTGTGAGTGGAGCAGGCGCCAAAGGTTCTGTAAGTGTGTGACGTCGGGGTTGGCTGGAGCTTGACCCAAAGCCAGAAAACTCTTTGGGGCTCTAGAAATCCAGTAGAAAACCTTCCGTTCACGTTTCTGTACTTGATATACGCCTTTTGGCCTGCGACCGCGCTGCCGGTGGGAACCGGGAGGGTGACAGCCGCCACTGCGCCGCAGAAGAGTGCGACTGTGGGCTTAGGCCAGCTTGCGGTCTGGGCGGGCCTAGAGGGTGTTGATCTCCGAAGATCTTGGGGTGACGAACGAATGTTCTTTGGAAATGTGGGGGAAGCGATGACAGGTCCTGGCCCTCATCCTCGGGTGTTAGTGGGGCAGGTGTCCCTCCCCGAATGTCCAGGGGGTGGGGAGAGGACCCAGGTCCAGCCGCGGAGTTGCCGCGTTCCAGTGGTCCCGTTTTATGCCCCCGGGGCTGCACAGGACCGTAGGCGCCAACGTTGCCCTGCCAAAACGCGGGAGGTCCAGTGGGCCAAGGCGCAGGCCCCATCCCGGTATCCTTAGCGCTTCCCCGAAGCGTTGAAATGTGGATTCTGGGGTGGGTGTGGTCTCCTGAAGGTCAAAGCGGGTGCAAAGGGGAGAGGACCAAGTGAGGCTCACGGGTCACCTGCCCGCCCACGTCTTCGCCGCACCTACACCTAATTCAAATGGTTGGGCGATGGCGGTGGCACACAGTGAAAAGTGTGGCGATGCGGCACAAGATAAGCTTCAGAGAGTTCAGCCTAAGGACATTACTGATTAGGGGCTGGATGAGTTACAGACCAAGAGGTAGACTGGCCCTTGAGTTTGTTAGGCGTGCCAAAGGAAACTTGTGAACAACACATTGTCCAGAATGTTTTGATTGGCCTAACCAAAATGAGCGAATAGCTTTTTTGTTTCTGGAGCAACCTGGCAAAGGAAAAATCAGGATATTTTGCACGAAAGAAAATGGGAATATTTGCAGATGTATCTAAACCATTTGCAGTTGTTGAGTTTTACGCTAAGACTGGATAATTCTATGGCACATTTAAAATTCCCTCCAGTTCATAGATTTTATGCCCCTAGAAACTGACCCCATCTTGGTGGTTTTTGCAGTTCAGTCCCAGATACCAGCTGCTGCTTCTTTCTAACATTACATAGGGTGTACATATGATACCACAGCACATAGCTCACTGATGTTTTTAGCTTTCTTGGTTGTTCTCATTCACAGAAGGCCTGCAAGATGCTATGAAAATGGTTGACTTGGGACATGTAATTTAAGAGAGGTTGGGGAAAGTTGCAATTCAGAGGCAGGGGGTGGGAATGAGCAGGTTTATCAGAGTGGTTCCCCTTTTCTTCCCCACCCTCCCTCTACTCCTTTCACTACTACACAGATTGACTTTCTGTTTCTTAAATACCTTGAATTTTATCACTGTAGGTAGGAAGCAATTGGGAGTGTATTTTTGCAGTCAGGTTCTATGATACCAGAGGATGGTGAGTTGTGAATTCCAGAGATGGAGATTGTTTTACAAATAAGAGCACTTTGTTTCACAGGAAAATGACTTGCCCTGGGTCATATGTTCTGCCATTGGTGCCACCACAAATAGAGTGTGGATCTCTAGTTCTTGTTCTCATTGTTCTTCATTCCATGCCTTGTTGTCCTGGCATGACTGGGTTTTGCCCTAGAAGCCGCTTATTTATGTCATTCAGCCTTGGTGTGTCCATTAGTGAAAGGAGGAAGATTTATCATAACAATAAAGGTTGACATTAATTTAGTGTTTTCTATGTGTGGAGCATGGTGCTTAGTGTTTACCAGCCAGGTTCTCAAGGAGACTTTACAGATGAAGGACTTGAGGCTTAAAGAGGTCAAGTGTCTGGTCCAAGGTCGTATTGCTAGTAAGTATAACACATGTTTGCCAGAGAGCAAGACCACTGGGTGTTCTCTTTCGTTTATTTCCTCTTGGTAATCTTTTTGGATCTATTTGTTTTGTTTGACCTTGGGAATCGATATCCTGTGTACATCAGCTCTACATCAGCTCGTGTAGTATGTAATTTGGCCTCAGGAAATTATGGGAAACAGCCAAACTCACCTACTATATTTGTACATACCCCAATTAAATCAGGAATTGTAATATAATATATATATATATTTGTTTTGCTTTGTTTTTTGGTACTGGGGTTTGAACTCAGGGCTTCATGTTTGCCAGGCCGGCACTCTACCACTTGAATCACTCCATCAGCCCTTGGGTATTTTCAAGGTAGGATCTCTTGAACTATTTGTTTGGACTGGCTCCAAACCATGATCCTCCTGATCTCTGCCTCCTGAGCAGGTTGATAACAGGTGTGAGCCACTGGCGACTGGCTGAATAGAACTTAAAACATTTCGTTTTAATGTATAATATGGTTAATCCCTAATATTATTGGAAATTGCTCAAATTGAAATTAGCAACAAGTTATAATGTGTTAAGAACACATTTCTCCATTGTAGTTCCAAATCTGCTGCTACTTAAAGCCAAGTGGGCCATTTACACATGAAGGTATCTAGCACCTTTGATCACTGTCATCACATTTAAACAGAGCTATGGTTTACATCCCTATCTGACTTTGCAAAGTCCCGGGGAAAACTGAGTTATCTGGTGCCAGTTGCCAGCTGCTTTTCCAGATACTATAACCTTGATTAGATGAGTTTTGAACTTTTTATATTTAGATGTTCTTTTAATTGAAAGTTTTTCTAAAATGTCTTCCCTAAAGTTCATCTAAAGGAAGCCCACTCTAAAGGCCTGTGAAGCTTTCTGCTTTTCTTAACTCTAAGTACATTTATTTCCTTCCTTCCTTCCTTCCTTCCTTCCTTCCTTCCTTCCTTCCTTCCTTCCTTCCTTCTTTCCCTCTTTCCCTCCTTCCCTGCCTCCCTCTCCCCTCTCTCTCCGAAGACCTCCAGAGCCAGCCTAGATGGGTTTGAATCCCGGTTCCACCTAGGAGGCTCTGGACACGTTACTTAAACTTTGCTTCCTTGTCTATAAAGTGGAGATAATAAACTATACCTTGTAGGGCAGGTATGAAGACTAAATGAGTTAATTCATCTAAATATTTTAGCACAGCCTGGATCAATAGAGTTAAGCTGTGACTGTTAAACCAAGTTTCAGAAAAAGTAGGGACCCCACAGACTATCTGGTTGACAACTTTTTTTTCTTTACTTACAGATGGCCCCAAGGCCCTGGAAAGAAGTCACTTACCAGAGTGTGTAGGCCCTTTATCCAGATCTCAAGTCTTCTAGCCCTTGGGGTAGGTGCTGCATTCTAAGAATAGAATTCTGGGCATACAGTGTCCTAGAATCAGCCCTGCACTTCAGCTGAGTCACTGCCTTGTCGCTTCCAGCCTCACCTTCACTATTTAGAGGGAATTTTATATATGAATTGCTTTCTTAGGACATTTTCTCATATAATTTATTCTCTTCCCTCTAGATAATGTTTTTTAAACTAAGATGAGTTTAGTGAACACTCAGAGGACCTGAGAAACAGAAAGACACTTGTTCCTAAACCAGCTCATGTTCAGGGCAGGAGTTGGGTGGAGGGGCATCTTTTGGGAGTGGGCTCTTAGGTGCATAGACAAATGAAATGAGAGCATATGTTCCTCAGGAGCAGCACTGCCACCTCTGCTGGGGGCTGCAGAGAGCTGCCAAGGAGAGCTTTCTGCTCAGCAAGAACCAGGTCTGTCTCAGCCCTCTTCCAGCTTTTGTGCTTCCACCAGTCCCAGGGTCACTTTGTACAGGACAGTTAACCCACACTACAGAGCTTGCTCTCTCTGTTCACATGCCCAGTCTCCATCAAAGACATGTCTTCCTAAGGTGGTCTGCCCTGAAACTCCAAATTGACCTGTTTCTTTTCTCCCTCTGTCCCCAGATCAGAACTTCCAGTTTCCTGGACCTGTCCTTTCAGCTTCTGCTCAAGCCTTGTTTTGGGGGCTACACTAATCAGGAGTGAACTCACAGTTGGCCCACTATGAACTGGAAGGTGAGAATGGTTTTAAACATTTATGGCTTGGGTTTTTTTCTTTTCTCCTTTTATTAGTCAGCTTTCTGTCACTATAATGAAATACCTCTGATACTTAACTTACAGGGGACAAGGTATATTTAGCTCACAGTTCTGGAGATTCCAGTCCAAGATCAGTTGGACTCCTCCTTGCTTTGGGCCTGTGGTGGTGTGCCAGACGGAAATGCTGGGAGCCATGGTAGAACAAACTACTCACCTCAGGAGCCAGAAAGCAAAAGAGGAAGAGGAAGATACAGGTGTCCCATAATCCTCTTTGCAGGCACACCCCCAGTGACCTACGACCTCCAATAAGGCCCCTCTTTCTAAATGTCTACAATACCTCCCAAGAGCACCACCCAGAGGACCTCTCAAACCCTTTTTCTGCCAGGTGAGATTGCAAGAAGTCTGCAGTCTGCAATCTGGAATGGACCTTTGAGGGACATTACCCATATTCAAACCATAGCACCCCTGAATGTAAAAATTGAGCATAATAGTTCTGCAGAAGTAAACTGATTAAAAAGAAAAAAAGAATACACAGAGCATAATCTTATTTAATACTTTAAGTTAAAACATGTAAGTTTACATTTATTCACTAGGCTTCTAGAGAAAGTCTTTCTTTGAATGTGCATACACTCACTACAGATCTACCTCACTTCCCTTGCAAAAGCCATGCCTTTAAATCTTCTACTATTTCACACTTTGATTTCTTTAAAGTAGATGCAATGGGTTGAATGCAAATTCACCACCCCAAATTCATATCCTAGTGTGATGGTATTTGGAGGTGATCAGGTCATGAGGGCCCCACCCTCATTGGATTAGTGCCCTTTTAAAAGGGACTCCAAAGACCTCTCAAACGCTTTTTCTGCCAGGTGAGATTGCAAGAAGTCTGCAGTCTGCAATCTGGAAGGGGACCCTCACTAGACTATGACCATGCTGTAGCCTGATCTTAGACTTCCATCTTCCAGAACTGTGAGAAGTCTGTTTATAATTTTGTTATAAAAGCCTAAATTAGGGTTGGAGGGGTGGTTCAAGCGGTGGAGCACATGCTTATAGCAAGCACGAGGCCCTGAGTTCAACCCCCCATTGAAAAAAAAGCTCAAGTTGACTAAGACAATGGATTAAGATCTTAAGAGAGACTATCTACACAAAATCTTCCCAGATTTTTATGATCCCCTCTCCTAATGTTTTATAGTTGTTCTGCACTATTACTGTTCGAACTTGAGTCTCTCAAAGCACTCACTTCAGTTTCCTTTTCTTTATGAGTCATAAGTTACCTTTTGAAGCATCAAGGTCAACTTGAACTGCACGGGGAGTACACAACTGACCCGTAGAGTGTTAGGTCTGCTGATGGGAGCACGAGTCCAAGAGCAACCAGAGAGCAGCTGGCTGCCTCTCCGCATTCGGAAGGCTGTGGGAAGCAGCAGCTCTGCAGAGGGATAGAGATCATCAGTTTAAATCCCTCAAGCTAAGAGATCAGTCACTAAAATAATACTTTATCATAGCACTTTGAAAAACATAAAATTATGTATCAAGTCACAATCCAAATATAGCTACTGTTAACAATTTTGGTCTATTCTAGTATTTTTTCCATATATATGTTATGGTATGTGCATTTTCAAATATAGGATCTTATTGTATTTTTTTCAATTGTTTATAAGCATTTTCTTATTTAGAGCATCCTATGGCCTTTTTCTTTATTCCCTCCAAGTTCTGGGGATCAAACCTAAGGCCTTACACTTGGCTAGGCAGGTGCTGTATCCCTGAACCACATCTTCAGCCCAATCTGCAGGCTTTCTATTGCAAGGAGAACTAGAAAAGTTCTCCCCTCAGCTCTGTGGTACAAGGGCACCAGGGACCTCTGCAGAAAGGCTGAGAGACTCTTCTCTAGGAAGAGCCTACTTGAGTTAAGTTGTTCTAGAAGTTTGCTTAGCATGCATTGGGAGCCAGAGCTCACAGTAGGAAGGTCAAGAAAGAAAGTGGAGGCAGTGAGCAGATGTAAGGAGGAAGAAGCTGACTGTAGTGTGGGGTGAGATTTAGGGAGGACTTTTACCTCCCGCAGTGGTAGGTCAGTAGGATTATAAGGCAGTGCTAATGGCCATGTCAGCAGGGTTGAAACATGCTTACTGCTCCAAGACAGTGCACCTCACACTTCACAGGTGACTCAGGGCATGGAGGACTAGTTACCGCAGGATTGCAGGCCCTATCCCCTCAGCTTCTGATGTAGCAGGTCTGGATGGGATGCCTAAAATTTGCATTTTTACAAGTTCCCATGTCTAAGGCAACACATAGAAAAAAAAATTGTCTCTAATTGTGGAAATCCACTTGGCAACCAGGTCAATCCTGCTTGCAACAAGAGTCCTTTCCTGTGGCAGGAACAAAATCTGCCCAGAGCTTCCCAACGGCAGGCAGACACAGCACTGTGGCCTCTAGGGAGCAGCGTCATGTTTAAAACTGACTCCTTCTTGCACTGTTAGCAAGGAGTGGCCTCAACTTGAGGAAGCTGGAGGGATTTGTAGCCCTCAGTGCGTCTTGTAGCTTCCCTTTCCAGCCCCATGGACCGTGACTGGTGGACAGTCAACGCTACCTGTGTAATAGCTAGTGTGGCCACATTATTTAAAAAGTTAACCATTCTCATTTCACAGGTATTGAAGTTTTGGTTCTAAAATGAATGTTGATCTAGTTTACCCCATAAACAGTCATTTTCCTCGCTGAAGATCTGCATGTTTTGTGAGATGAAAGGGGTTTGTTAGAAGGAAATTGGAGGAGGAAACTGGAACACAAGTGAAGCCTAGTACCCTGGAAAGGGGCAGGAAAGGGCCCCTCCCCTCCATGTTAGCCATTTAGTGCCCTTGACCTCTGCTGCCTCACTCTGCCTTCCTCTCAGTCCTGAAATCTGCGTCTTTCCCCCTCCTCTACACTATAAAAAAAAAAGTAAATACCGAAACCACTTACCTGTGTCCGTTTGTTGATGTTTCCTTTTCTCAATGAGTTTTCTAACTTCTTATTGAAATACATGTTTCTGTAACTGCCAGTTAAGTTTCGGGTTTAGTCTGCAGAGAACCACAGGCTATAATGTGTGCTCATCCACAAAGATAGGAAACCTGCAAGAGGACTTGTCTGAATAGAACCCAGCGCTTCAGCCAGTCTAGAACAGCCTCATAAACATAAGGGAGGTGAGAGGCTTATGGGGCCCAGGGACGTTAGCTGTAGGTCTGCAGGAGGAGGCATGTGGCAGCCAAATCTGCTGTCTAAGTTGTTGCTGTCACCATGGTAAACTTCTGTTACAGTCCTCACTGTTGTCAGAGTGATCTTTCAAATGCATATGTTGTGTGTGGTCTTTACTGTTAAAATGATTTAGTGGTTGAAAATTAGTTATCAAGTGTTCATATTATTTTAATGAATTGCCTGTCACCCATAATATTCATTATATAATTATTATATCACAGGGCAACCTTCCTCAGATAGCCATACAAAAATGGTTAAATAATCTCTGAAGTATGGAGCCCAGTTGCCTTTGGTAAATTCAGTAGCCAGGCCATCACTGATTTGTATAATTTAATTGAGAAACTGATAGGTGGGGGAGAGCGTGATAGGTATTACCAGGTAGCATAGTGATGGAGAATCAGGCATTTGAGCAGTTGGAGCTGGGTCAAACCCTTCCACACTGACTACTGACTTTCTGCACTTAAATTTTCTTAGCTATTCAGTCAGGACTATTTGTCTACTTCTGGTGCTGCAGTGAGGAGGAAAGGGGAAAATCTATGTAAGGCTTTTAGTGCGCAGAGCATTTGTAGTACATGGCAACTGGTACTCTGTCTTGAAAAGTGAAATCTTTGTCTTAAGTCTGAATTATAAAGAATTTAGATAAAATTACAGGAGCCTATCTTTGTATAAATTCATTAATTCCATTTCATTATAAATCAGGGAGACTGGCCAAGGGGTAGAACGTCCCCTTCCAACTGTGGCCTCCCCGTTAATGAGCTGTGCGACATTGTGGGCCTCTCAACCTCAGTGAGCTTTACTTGCCTTGTCTGAAAAATGAGGTTATTTTTAAAATCCTTTCCAGCCCTCCAGTTCTGTGAGCATATTGTTCCCAGCTACAGTTTTCATAACTAGTTTCAGATCAAACTATTAGAGGGAGGTTCAAATGTGCTCTCTGTAGTAGAATCTCATTTTATTGGTATTATATATAATAAATGATGTTTGGCAATTTAACCTAGTGATTTCACTGGGATAAGTCCTACCTTATCCTCTAATAAAATGATTACTCTATAAAAGCAAATCTCTTACTTTATTTGGAAAGGAATTTTAATCACATAAAAATCCATAATTTTTCAGGCTGTACTAACCATGTTTATGAATCTAGTCTAGTATTTGCTTTGAGATACTGTTGTGATGTATAGAATTTCATAATAAAACCTACTGGTGCGGAGAGTGTTATTCCCCAGACTTCCTTTTAGCCAATAGGTTAAAACTTCTTCTAGTAGGAAATTACAGAACAATTAATAAGGAGTTAAGTTTTAATGTTTTAAATTTTACCGTGTGTTATTTTACTTTCAAGGGCTAGTGCTAATAAGTCTCTGGGAGCAAGAGGAAATCATAGTGAACTAAAGCCAGAAGCTCTAGAAGAAAGCTCTGGTCCAGCCTCACTTTCTAGGCAAAGAGGTAAAAGTTCAAACAGGTTCAGTGCTTGGCCCAGGTCACTAAGTCAATGAGTGGCAGAGCAGAGGTTTAAACCAGGCCTTCCACCAGGCTGCATTTCCTTTCACTGGCATGCTGCTGCCTCAGAAGCAGATGTCTGGGAGGCTCAGCAACTCACATGGAGTTGGTAGCTGTTCCTCTCCACGAGGTCAGGAGCAAAGGAATGATGAAAGAGCTGTCAGTGACATGGGACAGGGGCCTTCGGCCTTGTCTAAGTGTAGCTCTAGCATCTAGTCTTATGCTTGTAACATAGTACGTACTCAGTAAATATTTGTCCAATGAAGGAACATAAAAGAGCATGCCATATCACTGGTAAAATAATTAAAATATCTCTTTCTTCCTCAAGGTTCTCGAACATGTGCCTGTGCTGCTATATATCTTAGCAGCAAAAACACTGATTCTCTGCCTAGCATTTGCAGGAGTAAAAATATACCAGAGGAAGAGATTGGAAGCAAAACAGCAAAAATTGGAAGTTGAAAAGACAACACAATCAGAGAAGAAAGATAACTGAAGGGAACTTGAAGGTACTTGGGGTTTGCAGATGCAAAATACCCAGTGGGTTAGGGCAGGCCAGTCAGCGGGTGTGATCATTCAGAGAACTCCACGTGCCTTGGGCCTGACCGTGCTCTAATGTGGAGTTGCTCCCTCGAGGGCCCAGAGTGCAGAGACCGACCCTGACTGTCTGCTGCTGGGGGTCACAGAGGACTCGTTCTCTGCTCTTCGCCCGCAGTGGTCCTTGGTAGGGTGGGGTCTTAAGACCCTGGATAATGTAAGGACAGCTTTGGACCTCCCCAGAGCCCTCGTACTAAAACACCAGCCCAGTAATTGTGCATAATTGTGCTCATGTACATGGGGAAGAAGGAGGTGGGGACCAACAGGTCAGTGGAAACCCCAAGATTAAGGGGCCCTGTTATCTTCAGGGTAATGTCATACCAAAGACTCCATAATTCCTTCCCAATCTGTCCTTAACCCAACTGAACATCATGTTCCCTTCTCCTGCCTACTTGCCATGCTTCTTCAGGCTGTTCTTGGATTGTTATGTCCTGGCCTATGGGACCCTTCCCAATAACCTCCTCCCCAGGCCCAGGGGCTTGCTCATTGCTGTAGCCAGTACCTCTCATGGTACACACAGGCGGGTATGGCACGTGCTTGTGGGGTCCAAGACTTCGAGGAAATAATTGAGACCTGGTCACAGACTTTACACATAACCATCGGCAGTTCCGTGGACTCTCATCTTGATCCGGTTTCTTCACTTATTACATTGAGGGCTGTACCTCTCTAAAAGTCAGAGGATTCAAATATGGTAGGCAGGGACTCTAGATCAATGGTTCTGAAACCCAGCTAAGGATCACAATTGCCTGGAGTGCTTGTTAGAAACTGCTGCCTCCCAAGCTCCAGCCTCAGGAGAGTGGGTCACCTAGTCCTCTCAGCGGCAGGTTGCTGTGCGAACCACAGGGTAGGTGGCTGTAATGCTCTGCCCACCTGAGAGCCCATGCTTCTGAAAGGAGGTGCTCCACAGTGTTCAAGCTTGGGGAGGTTAAAGGCTCACTTATTGGTAACTGCAGCAACACAGTAGCATTGATGATGTAGCAGGGAGGAGGACCGACACAGAAACAGACAGGCTGTGTTCTGATAATGAGGCAGGAGAGGGATGGCATAGCACAGAGATAAAACTTAAAGAATTAAAACATGAAGGTCACACAGCACTGGGGGAATGAAATAGCCAATGAAGTCACATGCAGCCATATGAGGATTGAGCTTTGCTTTTTGCTTCTGTAACCTGCTTGCAAGGGTATATAAGGTGAGACCTCTTTGATCTTGGGGCTCAGCCTTTGGACACAAGTCCTCTGAGTCTGTGCTGGCCCAATAAAACGTTGCTTCCTGCTAAACTGCCTCAGTGTCCCATATCTCAGCTTAAGATTCCTGCAACAATGATTCTGTGCTGAGCATTTCATGCACAGCTGTGTCATTTAGTCCTTCTGATGATTCTGAAGGATGTCATATTGAAAGAGTGCAACACAGCACACGGTGAGGAACAGAACTAGGGACTGAATCCAGGTGAAGCACATTCAATCACTGTGCCCAAGCTGCATCACCTTCCAGAATGCATGAAAGGGAGCTTGTAGGAGAGTGCACTTCGTGTTGTCCCTCCTCCCCATCCCCCATCCTGCCACCACTCTCTGGTCTCTATAGGCTTTTGCCGGGCAAAAGAAGTTACCATCATGGAATCTTGCCTTTAAAAAGAATGTTTTATGACTAAAACTCAGGAGTAACCAGACCTAGAAATATGGGGGAGTGGTTGGTCTCATGGCTGATGGCTGCCACATGCATGTTTATTGACTGAAGTTGGGTGGAGGAAGAGGGAGCACTTACTAGTTGAGGAGGGGGGGAGGAGGAGGGAAGGCACTTTTAACTGAAATGTTGGTTGAATTTATATTCCATAGAGAGTCAGCATTGTGTGTTAAGCTGAGAAGAGGATGGAGAGATTAGGTGTGAGATTTCCTCCCACAGAAGTCACCAGAGACACAAGTCAGTGATGTAAGGATGGCTGTGTGCACAGATGAGCTTAGAACTGACTCAGGGAGCTTACCTTCCTCCTAGGCTGACAGCGTGTGAAAGATGGGAGTCTTGCTTTAAATAACAAGCATTTCAGACAGAAGGAAAACTGTGGTGTCAAAAATACATTTATTAGTAGATAAACTTCAGTGCCTTCCATTTGTTAAGACTGAATGCTAGAACATTGGGTTAACGCTGAGCAAGTAGAGCATTGGCTACTGTTTTATCAAACCTTTCCTACTTATCCCTTTGCTCTTCTTTTCTAGATTTTGCTATTTAAATGTCAGCTTGTGTGGACTCCAGCTGAGAAGAAAGACAGTAATTATTGAATGATGCATCATAGGATAAACTCCCAATTTACATGGTTAAGTTAATGTGAATTTTTGTATATTTTTAAAAGAACCAGTATTTTTGTTTATTGAAATAAAATACCTTTGTAAAAGAGGTTGTCTCTGATCTTTGGACTAAGTTTCTCTCCCCTCACCCCATCTTTCTTTGTGTTTCTCTGCTCTCTCTCTCTTGCACACACACATGCCTATGTTGTGGGAGGGGGAGTTTACAATCCCATGGTCTCCCAGCACTTCCCAGTGGTGTGGGGGGCAGGTCTTGGTGCAGTGTGCAGAGGCCTGAGCCACAGAAGTAGCAACTCTGTGGGGGATGGGACCCCAGGGAACAGAAGCCCGAGCAGCTGGCCCTCATCCCCTGCTGCCCTCTGCACACTCCTATGTGTGCAGTTTGTGTCCTTCCTGTGTTTTCACTGTTAAGGCTGTGTGACTGTCTAGGGTGCTGTCCAGGAGAATTGGCCCCTGCGCTGACCTGGGAGGGTGCTTGTGAAGAGGAACTGCAGGTGGAGAGCTGTGGGCTATAATGGACACTGAGTAGGAAGAACTACTTCATGAGTCCTATTGGGGAAAGAACAAGGAGGCACTGGGCCATGCTTTGTCCCCTCCCCCCACCTAGTTTGCTTATTGGGATGAAGGAGGGGCATCACTAGGGGAGACTTCAATTTGGGAGCTTTTTTAACTTAGCCCCTAGCACATGGAGGTCTTCATTAAAAGGTTCAAGTTCTCTCACCTCTCCTCTCCAGATAGCAGAGTGAATGGGGTGAGGAGGAAAGTTTGGTAGAAGATGACCTAAGGGTTGGACTGAACTGCTGACTGCACCCATGGCTTCTCTGTGAACAGCTTTGGAGTTTTTGTTTTCTGTTACCTTTCCTATGCACTCTTCTATCACTAGGGGGAGATAATTAGCCACTCATTGGAGTTAGTGGTGTCACTGACTGCATTTCTAAGTCGGATGCAATGGCTGGAGGTCAGTGGATAGACACGTTTCCAAAGACCACAGCCAGGACCCCATCACGATCACCGCCATCCAGTGGTTCTCCAGACTACAATGAACATGCATGTAGAAAACAGCCTAATCTGAACCCCACCCTCTCTACCCACAGGAGGTGCTCAGATCCTAGTTAATCTTATTACACACATGCCGAAAATACCCATTTGAGCTGGTGGAGTGGCTCAAGTGGTAAGAGTACTTGCCTAGCATGAGGCACTGAGTGCCACAAAAAAAAAAACAAGAATAGCACACACTTAACGTATCTATTTTGATTTTCAAGCTTGCAACACATTAGAAGCAGAAAGGAAGAAAGGCACTGTTGGCAGCAGAGATACCTTCAAGCAAGAGAGCCAAGCAGACCAGGCCTACGAGTTCACGCAGTGTGCTGGCCAGCAACCTCAATCCGGGACACTTACATGGTAACATTAAGTCTGTAATGATGGCCTTACATAGAAGATGTTAAACTTTTATATACTCTGTTTAACGAGGCAGAGAGACATATATTATGTGTTTCAGAAACCAAATAACCTGGCCAGCCACTGTTGACTCATTCCTGTAATCCCAACTACTCATGAGGCAGAGATTGGGAGAATCTCAGTTTGTGATTGGCCTGTGCAAAAAGTTAGTGAGACCCCAACTCAACTAACAAGTCAAGTATGGTGGTAAATGACTGAAATCTCAGTTACGAGGGAGGCATCGGTAAGAGGATTGCAGTCTAAGGCCAGTCCTGGGCAAAACAAAACAAAACAAAGACCCTATCCAAAAAATAACTACAGCAAAAAATGCTAGGGATGTGACCCAAATGGTAGAGTGCTTGCCTGGCAATTGCGAGGCCCAGAGTTCAAATCCCAGTACTGCCAAAATAAATAACCTGGGGTTCTTTAGAAGGGGTTATTTCCCCAATCCCCAAGCTATCTACACGTTCTTATGTTTAGGAAACACAGGTGTCTCAAAGTCCCGAAGGTTTCCAAGTGCCTTGGCCTTCACAGCACTGAGTCTCAAGGTCACTTGATTACACCCTCACTTGTTTTTGAGCTTTGCTCAGCACACCACTCTGTGCCCGGCCCCAGGGCATAGAGACTGGAGGTGACCAGACCTGACCTTGGGAAGCCGTGCTCTGCTGCCAGAAAACACGGGAATGACTGAGGTGGGACAGGCTTTCCCCGCAGCAACAGAGACGTGCACCTCCGTGTGGTCTCTGTGTCAGAGCAAAACTGGAGCAGTGGCACTGGGACAAAATGTAGGAGAGGGGAAGGCAGGAGGTGCCTCTGGGGTGGTCCCCACCCAATGCTTCAGGGGATCTGTGGTTTCAATGTTCCCTTCTGAGATGCATCCTTCAAGTAATGGGCAGAGGGAGATGAGGCTCAGCTGAGCTGGAATGGTCTGAATGTTCTCCACAGGCTCATGTGCTGAAGGCTTGGACTCCAGCTGGTGGCACTATTGGAAGGTGGTCCAACCTTTAGGACTGAGGCCTAGTTTGAGGAAGTAGGTCATTGAGCGTGTGCCCTTGAGGGGTATCTTGGAAGCCTGGCCCTTTCCTTTTTCTCTCTTTGCTTCTGGCTGCCCTGAGGTGAGCAGCATTGCTTCCTGCCATGATATCCTGCCTTGCCACAGGCCCAGAAACAATGGAGTCATGTGACCTTGGACAAACCTCTAAAACTATGAGCCAAAATGAATCTTTCCTCCTGCACGATGATGTTCTCAGGTATTTTGTCACAGTGATGGAAAGCTGACTGACACACTGGGGAGGAGCCACCTCCCAGGGTCTGGTGAGCCCTGGCAGTGTTGGGAGCAGAGAGCCCTGCTCAGGCTCCACTCTCCCATGATTTTATCTATACCTGTCATCTCAACGTCAGCCTTATCCCCTTTATGCAAATCAGGAAACTGAGGCACAGAGAGGTTCACTGTCTTGTCTAAGGTCCCCAGCTCGTGGGAGGCAGCAATAAGCTAAGTCCTGGGAGTCTGGTTCTAGCTTGTGTGTTTCTCTGCTGTGCTATGGGGTCTGAGCCAAGTGAAAGGATGGGTAGGAGTTATTTGAAGTCTGGTTATAAAATCTTCAGCCCACCGCCTTGGTGACACTGTGTGGACCGAGGCAAGGTTGTGATGAGCTGAGGAACTGATGGGATGTGAGAAAGATACAGTGTCGACTTAGTGCAAGTTGTGAGTGTGTCTGTGTGTGCTCACACTCTCACACATCACTGTCACTGGACAATGGCAGAGCTGTGGTTGTGTTCGGAGGGTGTGGGCACAAAGAAACAGCAACAGGGAAAAAGCTGGTTGGTTAACACCAGGTAACTTCTGTGTGGGTAGTGGTGTGTGTGTGGTGGAGGCGGGGGCAAGGGGCAGCTAGACTGGTTTCCTCTTTTCAGGAGGAACTGATCAGTTTTGGTAACTTCTTGCTTCCTTAAGCTTTCAGTTTGTTAAATGTGGTATTTAGTGTAAGTGACCTGATTTTTAATTTGGTCTGCTCTGTGATGACCCAGGCCTGTAGCTGAGGCCAAAACAATGGCCTTCCATCTTTTTGATACTAAGAAAACAGTAGACTTGGTATACTTTGAATGCCTCTGCTTAACTGGCCTTCCTCTTTCCTCCTCTTCTCCCTGTGATGAAATCTCATCTTGCCCTGTCCTTGGCTCTGGCCAGGTTTACCTCTTCTGGGATCTCTGCCCAAGAAACAGGCCCTGGACTCTGAGTCCTCACGGCCCAGATATGTCACATCTCACTGACTTAGAGCAGCGTCCCCACCACAGGACTGTGGTTACCTGGGGGGTCCAGGCTTATTTCCCTTGGTACCCCTGACCGTGGCACACACTTCCAGGTATATAGAAGGTTCTGGAATGCTTGATGAATGCATAACTGGTACCACCAAAAGAAGGGGAGCAGGGAGCTCCCTGCTGAGACCACTAACTGCCTACCTCAATATGACTTCTCCCTAAGAATAATGCTGGTTTTTACCTAGCCATATTACCAGCTTCCTGTGTGACTAAGTTTGGCCAATCAGATTTAAGTGTAAGTATGTTGGGACTTCCTGAAAGGCTCCTTAAAGTGGATGTGATAAGCCCCTTTTCCTCCTATTCTCTTTCTTTTCTTTCTGGAATAGAAATGCAGTGGCTTGTTCAGTAGCCACTCTGGACTTTGAAGTAACTTGTGGCCTGAACCATGTCTAGGATAATTGAGTACAGAGATGGCACCCTGGGTCTTGATGACTAGGAGTGCATCATGTTACCTGTGAACTTTCACCTTAGCACCTCTTATTTTGGGTGCTTGAGAGGAGGTACCTTCCATTTTACTGATATCTCTGTAGACTACTCCTGGTCCAACCTAATCCTGTCATGCAGGCAAGTCTTCCTGATAGCAAAATTTAGATTCTGGTCCCTACCCTCCTATCACTAGCTGCATATGTGTCTAGGTGAGTTGGTTATGGCTCCAGTCTTCTCTTTGTAAAGTGAGCTTTTAATGTTCACTTCCCTGCCTACAGTACAGTGTGGTTGTCTGAACTAAATAAGGTCAGTTGGTATGTGGGAAAACAATCACTCATGGATGGAATGTGTGCCACCTGAGTGAGCAACTCAGCTCCAATTGGCCAGACAGAGCTCCACCCATCCAGTTGGATTTAGCCAATGGGAAGCAGGCTCCATTTGCTTAGGCTAGTCCATTTTCTAATGTACCTCCTCCTTGGGTGTCACTATGGTCCTTGGGAAGGGAGTAGGGGTGTGGTTGTTGGTGATGCAGAGGCCACAGAGGCTAGGATGATCCATCAGCCACCACTCAGGAGAACAGCACCACCAACATCATGAACTCTGTTACAGAGGACTTGTCTACAGATGTGTAGCCAACCCTGGATTGCTATGTGTCATTACCCACTGTTAATTTCAACAGTGCACTAAACTCGACTGTTCCCAAAGAGATTCTGGGCTGGACTCACCAGCCCACATGTCCTACCTCCACCAGGAGAAATCTCTTATTATTGTTAATTCCCTAATTTATTGCAGATGGTCCTAAAAGAAATGCCAGAGAACAAAGTTTCCTTTGATCAAAGTATCTTGAGATGTGTCTAGTCTTACTTCCCATTGATAAAAAGAAGCAAAAATTTTCCTCCAAGAGTAAAAAGGAAATGAGCTCAGTGACATTAGGTCTAATTGGGGACACATTTGCTTTGACTTTAGTCTGGACTGTGATGATATGGTCTTCAGCTTTTTGAGCATCATAGGTACCAGACACAATGTAGTGTCCTGGTGTGTGTGACACCATCTTAATGCCCTCAACCTATTTTGCTAATAAGTTAATTGAGCCTCAGGGAAGAAAAGCAACTTAGCCAAAGTCTCATAGCTAATAAGTTGCAAACTTGAGATTGCAAGATGTCCGTTCAAATCCCAAAGTGTACTTTCTGCTACAAGTTTCCATGCTTTGTATAAAACATTTCTTAATTACGAACAATCTTATGTAACTAAATTACATACACTAAAGGTGGCCTTTTTGATCTCTCTGGTAATATTGATGTTCTCTTTCCTCTACTTGCTTCTCTAATGACTAAACAAGATCTCAAAGGAAGAGAACTCTAAACCCATTTTATTAAATTGTTTTGGTTTTCAAAAAAAAAATAGATCCTGTTGGTTTATCTTGTTTATCTGATAACCTAAAAAACATTCAGTTATATTTTCTCACTGCAAAATAATGTACTTTAAAAAAGTAGCCTGCCTCCTCCTCAATTTTGCATTGAAGTCTATTTTTGTTGTGGTGTCCAGCTAGAGATGGACACCTGGTGGACGCCTGATGTCTCTTCTGATTTTCTTATGCCATATAAAGAAGAAAAGGCTGGTGTTTCAATAACCAAGCTAAGCAGGGTGGCTGGGAGCATGGGCTTTGGATTCTGACAGCCCTAATGACATCCCTACTTCTGCTTCCTCATCTTTAATGCCTGCTATGGCTGCATGAGGATTGAATGAGCTGCTTATTGGTGGACAGCCATTGGGAATATTGGCTCTAATATGACCTTTGGATTTGAATCCTAGCTCCTCTGCATAGGAAGTTACATCATTTCTCTGCACCCAGGTTTCTACATCTGTGTAATATAGATAATAATGAATCCTCCATTACAGCAGTTGTGAGGACTAAATGAGTCCTCAGTTCGATGGGTAACTGACTCATAGACACACACAACTAGTGACAGGAGAGTCAGGGCCAGAATCCAAACCTTCTACCAGGAAGTCCTTGCATCCATCTCTGACTACTCCATGCACAGCTGTGGGTGTTCATTACCCCAGGACTCTGGGTAGGTGTGTACTAAGTATGACATGAGGCAAACCCACTCATATCCCAAACTCAGGCCCTCTGCACTTGGGCCTGCACAGTGGTGGTACATTGAAGAGACTAAGGAAATTTGAATGCTGTTTACTTGCTCTTAAGGAAATTAAATCCTAAAAATATGGGATGTAGAGAAAATGACCACATGAATGGAGTTGGTTCGCCAGGTTAATTGCCAAGGGTTAATGCAGTATTTCAATTAGCAGAATAAGATATTCATTAGCAGCTATGACTGTTATCAGTGCCCCAACTCCTGACACAGAATGTTCTCTTGTATGGAAAAAGTCTGTATAGATGATCTGGTTAAGGACTTAGATGATTCTGGATTACCCAGGTGGGCCCTAAATACAAAGTCAAGAGTAAGAGAAAGGCAGAAGGAGATTCGACACAGATTAGGGCAGGAAGTGGTGAGGCCACAAGCCAAGGAATGCCACCAGAAGCTGGAGAAGCCAGTAAGACTCTCCCTGAGATCCTCCATCTGGAGTGCTGCCCTACCAACACCTTGGTTTTAGCTCAGTGGAATTGATTTCTGACTTATGGCCTGCTTAACTGGCAGAGAAACATTTCTGCTGTTTTCAGCTCTCAGTTTATGGTAATTTGTTACAGTAGCCACAGGAAAATGATACAGTGCCTTTGGCTGTAAAGGAGAATCTGTGAAAACTGAAACTGCTATTCTGAGTAGCTGGCTTGGGGTATCACTCATCTCCAGATAAAAGGCAGACTAGGTTTCTTGTTTTTTAATGACTACAAAAGATTGTAGGAGTCTACTACTTAGTGCTGAGAAGCACCGAATGCCTATTTTAATCTGACTAAGTCTTTCTGAATAATGCAAGGAGACTCTGGAGGAAAACAAGCAGAGAACTTGATGATCCCTGCATTTGCCTCATGACCTTCTTATGTACTTGGGTCTATTGGGAATTGGGTAGAAATTTTCATGTTATCTTTTGGATCTACTTTATTTTTTCAGAGCTGTTTTTTAGGTTTGTAGCTAAATTGAGCAAAAAGTACCAAGTTCCCATATGCTACCTTCCCGTACCCTACAGCCTTCTTCACTACCCCACATAAATTACTTTTGACAGTACTTGGGTTTGAACTCCAGGCCTTTCTCACGTGCTCTATCACTTGAACCAGACCCCAACCCTCCTTATTGCTTTAGTTATCTTTTAGATAGAATCTTGAGGGATTTTTTTGCCCAGGGTTGGCCTCAGACTGCAAACCTACCTATGCCTCCCTTGTAGCTGGGATTACAGGAGTAAGCCACCATCCTCAGTATAAAATTTTTTACACATATAAGAGTGATTACTTCTATCATAAAATTACTGTCTGGGCATACATAAACAAGAGTGAATTTTATGATCTGTTGAATAGGAATCTGTTTTTTTTCTATAAATGGTAAAAATACAACCACAAATCTTTACACCCTATATCAGCAGCAGCCCCAAACTTGAGTAGGGTGTTGTACCAGCTGCAGGGGGCTCAGCTACAGGGTCCCCAGATGAAATTCCATGGCAAAGTCATGTGACTTCTGATTGGGATTCTTGTAGTTGGATGAGAGATTTGTTGAGTACATGGATTTCACAGACCCCCCACCAATGCCACCTGTTCACCCTAGCTCCCTGTTCAATTGAACCATCAGAGCCATGGATCCCCAGATCCCTTACTGGGACTTCCAACTTGCCTCGGGTAGTCTGCTGAGGATTCACTGCTCTGATGCCTTTCACCACCCCCGACCACCTTGCTGAGGAAGAAGGACAATAGGAAGGGAAGGTCTTGCTGGGCGATGTTTCTTACTGATGACAATTGGCTTTCCTGTGGATAATTAGATGGGCTGGAACTGGTTGGCAGTTCATTTTAATCATGTGGGTGACTACACACTTGGTTTTTGGGTTTTTTTTTCTCTTTTCCTCAGACCTAAATTTTAACCACATCGCCTTTAATCCTGTTTACCCTTACTCAAACACCTCCCTCCTTTGGGCTAGGTTGGCCCTAGTCCTCCCATTGACATGGCCCTCAAAGTGACCTTTGCAAGATGAAAATCAAGACCCCTAATTTACCAACAAGCTTTAATGAAGCCTCCAGTAAACTCAGGATATTAACAACATCCTTAGGACCCTCTCAGTCCTCACAGCACTCCTATGAGGTCACAACTGGAGTATCCATGGTGACAGTGTTCCAGGATGAAGCTCAACGGAGTTGGTGGTAGAGCCCATAGGTGTGGCAGAGCCTTACTGCTTGTTGGAGGAATCGCTTGTAGAAAACGTCCCAAGATAATAATTTTCCCACCTCCGTACTTTGTTAGTTAGTGTTTTCCACTTGCTTAGGTTTATCCTTTCAATGCCTTTGTTAATTAAATCACTGAAAAGTATGTATTGATAAGAATAGACACTATCAATGGACTGCAGACAGAACTCTTTCCTGTTGTTGATGATAAACCACTTCACAGAAGACCAGGCTGAGTCTAAGGGATTTAGGTAATTATAAGGGGAAGGCAGTGACAGTAGCTCATGGCCATAGGACTTGGCCACGTCTGAACAGCACGTGATGCTTGTTAAATTAATGCTTGCTGGGACAGGAGACTGAGCCTCAGCCTCTTTGTCTTCCTTTGGCTTCATCTCATCCTGCTGCCTTCTCTCTTTGACCACGATGGCACACTTTCCATAGGCCTTCTTTGTCACATCACAGAACTCAAAGAAGAGGCCACTGTCTTGTTTGATGCATAGCTCATCTCTTAGGAACATCCGGTATTTCCAAGGCACCCATCCCTGACTGCCACCAGCATGCACAATACACCAACTTGGAGTCTGCATGAAATATCCATTACTGAAATCTGCCCCTGTTGCTAGACTTTCTGGGATATCAGTTTCCCCCAAATACACAGTCTTAAATCCATCATATTGCAGTGCTCTCAGGGCTTTCAGATATTGTAGGCATTGCTTCCTCTTGATGCTATCAAATTGACTTCTGATGATGACATTTTTTAAAAGAGGGTTTGCAAAGTGAGACATGGTGGTTTCTCAAGTGTTTTATATGTCTCCATCAGGGGAGACCTGGCAAGTGTGGGGTGATGACCTCATAAAGGGCTTTCTTACAGCTGTGCTAGTCCCATAGCTTTGCTTCAGACTCAAAGCATCATGGGACATGTACTCAAAATAGCTCCCCTTCTGGCCTATCTGCTATGGGAATGGAAAAGGCAATTTTGATATCACTACTGTAATGGGTCTAGGACAGAGATTGATGGTCTTTTTATAGTGATGGATCAACTTTCTCACTCCTATACATTTCATTAGGATGGAAAGAAATACCTACATTATTCATCCACTCCATTGCACTTACTAATGAAGCAGGCATTGTGCCATGAACCAGGAGGTAGTAATGGCAGGTTCAGGGAGGCCTGGAATGTGAGTGGGATGTGTCTGTGTATGCACAAAGCTTGTGTCAGCTGCCTGCTTGCACAATCAAGTGGCTTTTCCAAGTGGCATAAAGGATGTGTGATAAAGAGCAAAAGAAACTCAGCCTGCATACCTGTCTTTTTGGGCCTGCCCATTCTTGAGCTAATTCAACACATTACCTGAAAAGCACTTTTAAATTGATATACTCAGGAAAAATGATAGTTTGCTTCCACCTCTAGTAGCCTCTTCAATTTTCTTTGTATTTTCTAGTCTCTTAAAGCTAAAGACATTTCATAAACGTGCCCAAGGGATTCCCTCAAATGAAGATATGGGCAAAATGCTTTATCCAGTCCTTTGCTCCAGATTGAATGGTGAGGATTTCCTCTTCCTGTCCCTCTACCACCAGGGTTTTCTTGGGACTCCAGTGAGACCACCATCATGGCAAAGCTGGCATGAAGCACACAGTCCCTAAATATCCTCACAGAGGCCAGGGTAGCAGGTTTGGGCTGGTAATTAGCTTCTGGTCATTTTCTCTTTGGATTTTTCTTTTAGTAGTGGAAAACACTTTGACACCAATTTGATGTAGATGTCAACTGTGTTAAAGCAGAAGTGTGGCTTCTCTGGTTGATGTGGTAATGGTGCTCCCAGAGTCCCTGCTCAGTCATCCCATATATCCTCTCCCCTATCCCAAGGGACCCTATGGCCTGGAATGTCAGTGTGGAACACTATGTAGTACAATGAAGTCATTTCTAACAACTCTTCACTTCTCATCTAATTTTCAGTTATGGATATGGGAAACTTGCTCAGAAGTATGAGAGAATATAATGTGTTGACTTTTATGTGTGTATGCATACACATATTTGCTTATATTTTCACATAGAAACAACAGAGAAATGAAGTAGACACTAATGAATGAAGTAGACACCTGTAAAGAGGAGAGAGAGAACAGGAGGGAAGAAAAAATCAAGAACTTTGGAAAATGGACACATTTTTATATTTAAGTTACAATTTAAAAACAAAAGCAAGTCACAAAAACTAAAATGAAATGGTCACTTTTTAACAAAAATAAAATAAGCATAAATAGCAAGAGAAATTACAGAAAACATATGAATGCATGAAGATTGAATAATGTACGATCAGTGGGTCATCAAAGGAATCACAGGAAACTAAAAATTCCTAGAACCAAATGAAAGTGAAAACACAATACACGGGAATCTGTAGATACAGTAAAAGTGGTTCTAAGATGGAAGTTTATACCTATAAATGCCTACATTAAAAAAATGAGAGAGCTCAAATGACCCATTGATGTACATCAAGGTCTTAGAAAAATGAAAATAAGTCAATTCTCAAATTAGTAGAAGGAAAGAAATGATAAAGATTAGAGCTGAAATTAATGAATGAAAACGAAAAGAACACTACAAGGATCAACAAAATAGAGTTAGTTCTTTAAAAAATTAACAAGATTAATAAACTCTTAGCCAAACTAACAGAGGGAAAAGGTACAAATTAATAATATTAGAGATAATTTACAACAGACACCACTGAAATCTAGAGGACAATAAGAGAATATTTTGAAAAGTTATATTCCAAGAAGTTAGAAAATCTAGATGAAATAACTTTCTAGATACATATGATCTACTGAAATTAAACCAAGAAAACTGACACAGGTTAATAAGTAATGAGACTGAAGCAGTAATAAAAAGTCTACCAACCAAAAAAAAAAGGAGAAATTCACTGAATTCTAAAGAAAAACATCAATGATTCCTAAATAATTCCACAAAATAGAAAGGGAGCAGACACTTTAAAACTTATTCTAAAAAGTCAATATGCCCTGATGCCTAAACCAGATAAGGACACACACACAAAAGAAATGCAAATTATAGTCAATTTGCTTGATGAACATAGGCACAAAAATCATCAATGAAATGCTTACAAACTGAATTCAACAGCACATTAAAAAGATCAGACATCATGATAAAGTTGGATTCATTCCAGGAATGAAGGATGTTTCAATTTATGCAAATAAATAAATGGGATACAGCACATAAAGTCAAGAACAAGCCTCTCAATAGATGCAGAAAAGGCCTTTGACAAAATTCAACATCCCTTCACAATAAAAGCTGGAGTAACTAAGAATAAAGGATCATAACTAAACATAATAAAGACTATATCTGAGACCTATAGCCAACATTAAATTAAAAGGGAAAAAACTGAAAGCGTTTCCCCTGAAATCAGAAATGAAACAAGGCTTTCTGCTATAGCAACTCTTATTCAGTATAGTGCTTGAAAATTTAGCCAGAGTAATAAGGCGAGAAAAAGAAATAAAAGGGATTTGAGTAGGACTAGAAGAAGTCAAATTCTCCCTATTTACAGATGATATGGTACTATACATAAAAGACCTGAAAGACTACTAGGAGACTCTTAGATCTGATAAATACTCTGAGCAAAGTAGAAGGAAATCAAATCAACATATAAAAATCAATAGTTTTTCAAAAACAATCATTAGATTTTCTGTACTACAACAAACAAAAAATTTGCTGAGAAAGAAATCAGGAAAACAATCCTATTCACAATAATCCAAAAAATACCTAGGAATAAACCTAACCAAAGAAGTGAAAGGCATCTTTAATGAAAATCATAAAACACTGAAGAAACTGACAAAGACATCAAAAGGTAGAGAGACAGCCCATGACCGTGGGTCAACAGAAATAATATTGTGAAAATGGCCATATTACCAAAAGCCAAATACAGATTCAATGCAATCCCTATCAAAATTACAGTGACATTCTTCAAAGAAACAGAAAAAAAAATTCCTAAAATTTACATGAAAGTACAAAAGACCCTGAATATCCAAAGTAATCCTGTGGGAGGAAAAAAAGAGGTATCACAATACTTAACTTTAAATTATACTATAGAGCTACTAACTAAAACAGCATGGTATTGGCACAAAACAGACATGTAGATCAATGCAATAGAGTAGAGGAGCCAAAAATAAACCCACACAGCTACAGCCATCCAATTTTTGACAAAGTTGCCAAAAATGTCTATTGAAAAAGACAGACTCTTTAGCAAGTAGTGTTGAGAAAACTGGTAGCTACATGCAGAAGACTGAAACTTTATTTCTACATCTAACCCTTATCAAAATCAACTCAAAATAGATCAAAGACCTTAATCTGAAACTGCTAGGGGAAACACATCAAGATGTATAGACAATGACTTTCTGAATAGGACTCTAACAGTTCAGGAAATAAGAACAAGAATTGAGAAATGGAATCATATCAAATTAAAAAGCTTCTGAATAGCAGAGGACACAAACACCAGAGTGACAAGACAGCCTATAGAATGGGATAAAGTCTTTGCCAGTTATTCATCCAACAGGGATTAATATCCAGAAAATATAAAGAACAAAAAAATTAAACAAGAAAAGAATAAATAATCTGATCAACAAATTGCAAGTGAACTGAACAAACAGTTCTCAAAAGATGAAATACAAATGGCCAATAAATACATGAAAAAATGTCCAACATCTTAACTATCAGGGAAGTACAAATCAAAACTGTGGTCAGATTCCATCTCACCCCAGTCAGAATGGCAATCATCAGAAAACAAAAACACAACAAATGCAGGTGAGGGAAAAAGGAAATTTTATACATTGTGGTTGGGAATCAGTACCAGAGGGACCTGGACTCAAAAAAACACTGCACCCTGAGTGTCCAGATATACTCAGAGAGCCTCCCTGCCCCAACTTCCCTCTCCCTTCCCCTGCAGCCTCTGCTAAGACAGGTGGCCAGTACCTTGGGCCCCCTCCCTCCACCTGAGGCCTCCCCTTCCTCCAGCCTCTCCACGCTGAGCCTCCTTTTCCGGGATTCTTCTTTGTCACTGTAGCTGCAGGGCTGCTGAGGGCCTGAGAGAGAGAACAGAACTTCATGGGTCACCCCTGGTTTATTATCAGATTGGACCACCAGGGGAGCAGTATGGTGCGCCTCTGTAATGACCTGTGAGGGGAACACCTTGGCAGCCACCTCCCTGGCAGGGGGCAAACCTTGCTGGCACCAGAAGCCTCCCGGCTTACCATACCCAGCCTTCCCCTGGGCCCTGGAGTCACTATATCTGTCTTTCTAGATACAACTTCTTCTCCACTGCCCAGGTAATCAACATTCTGAGGTAGAACACTGTAATATTTTTAATTCACTTGAATTAATTTCATGCAATGAGCAGAACAAATTTGTTCAAAGATGGAAAAGCTTCACTTGATCTCATAGGATAGGGTGAGGGGGCTAAAATCATGTGTGAGTATTGCTGTGTTCTGTTGGACTGGTTGTCACCTGGTATAGATCATGATCTTTTCCAAAGAAAAGAGACTACTTAGTAACTATCAGTACAAAAAATGAAAACAAAAACCTCACCAACAAAAATTTCAAAGCAGTTGGTGCTATAAGTAGATGTGTGTGTACCTGTGGCTGGGGTGAGTGCATTCCACAAACACACTCACATTTCTTTATTTACATGGAAACACTGGGTATTGTGCTTGGGTCTTCTTACCCCAGCTCCCAAGGCCAGAGCAGAGCAGGGGACTGAAGTCACTTCATCGTGGGCACCCTGGTCACTGTGAGCCT